CACTGAACACTCAAGTACTTGTTGTACACCAAACTTACTCATGCTGGGTAGAAATATTGAATACCCCATTGACTTAATGGTAGGTCCTCCCCCGGGTCAAAATGACACTTATTGTCCTATTGAATATGTTGAATGGTTTAAATCTTCAACAAGAAAAGCATTTTTGTTTGCAAATGATCAATTAGGCATATCCGCCACAAGACAAAAACGTTATTATGATAGGGGTCTTAAACCTAGAGAATTTAGTTCTGGTGACTGGGTCTGGAGGTGGTACCCCCTACTGCAAATAAGAAATTAGCTTTGGGATGGACAGGTCCATACCTAGTCACAGAAAAACTGACCTACTTAACATATAGGATTCAAAAATCCAAAGACTCAAATCCCATTGTTGTACATATTGATCACCTTAAGCCATATGAAGGTAGTCAAGTGACAGGGAACTGGTTGAGTAACCGCCCTACCATTGATACCAATATTAGCATATGTAATGATGCCACTAATTTGGCGCATAATGTAAATTATGATAATGGTGATGTCACAAATGAGACAGATGATGTCATAAATGAAGACACATCAACTACTGTACCTTTTGTCCCCAGAACTAGAAGGGAACGAATTGTAAAACCTAGGCAAATATATAGTCCTAGTTAAAAGTTCAGATGTAATGAACAGAAAATAAGATAACTAATCATTGTATATAAAATATAAATTTTCAATGTGGAAAATTTGTTGAATTTAATTGATAATTGACCTTATACAGTGTGTAAATATGTTATTTTTTTTTAAAAAAAAAAACTTTATAAAATATAAAGTTTAAAATAATTATGAGATGAATTTAAGTTTAAAGTAACTTATCATGCACATGTCATGTTTTATAACATGTAATGTTTGAAATAATGTTTGTTTAAATTATAGTTTAAACTTGTAAGTTTCATATCAGTGCTTATATGCATTTATCAAATCATATTTATGAAATGAAATATTTAGATAAAGGGAAATAAACCCTGTATTTGATTGTATGTGAATGAATGAAAGAATTGCCTCCCTTACATTTTGAAAAATATATATATTATATAAAAACACTTATACGTTAATTGAAAGTGTAATTTTATAGTAATCTATGTCTATGATAGTCGAATATCTTTTTACGATAAATTGTACATTTTCAGTATAGTATTATGGCTCAAGCTATGCTGAGTAGTTCATCCATCAGACCACTGTGGCCTATGGAGGGTATGGCGTGCCCAGTACAAGGTTGTCAACCAAACCAAATTTTTTCTGAGGTACGACAGGTTTTCAGAACATTGGGCCAGATGTCACCTCCCAATTGTAACCATTTATCATTGTATGAACTGTGATAGAACATTCCAGAGGGCAACTGACGGGAGACAACATTCCCGTCAGTTTGGCCCAAGACACTCTTGCGAGTTGAAGAGAGTTGTTAATGTCAATTATAGAAGGACCGGCAATGTGTTAAAGCCCCGGTATCCATCGGCTGCGGAAAGATCTGAGCTACAACAGAAGGAGAAGGAGAGGAAAGAAAGAGAGAAGGAAGAGAAGAAAGAAAGGGACCAGCAGGAAAGAAGGAAAAGGAGGACTGTCATTCTTGGGGGCATATTAAGCTTCACCCCAGAGGAACTAGATTATTTCGACGACATTGAGTTTAATTAATATTATAAGGTCTTTTAAATCATGTGTTGATGCATTGTTTTTCCTTAAGGTTTACGTGTGTAATGTTTAATTATAAAACTGATAATAAATTTTTGAGTTTTTGAAGTTAAAATAAAAGTGATTTTCTATTTATCTTAAGATAGGGTTTTTGTTAAGAAAATGCAAGTACTTTGTTTTTTCTGATATTTATTAAGTAAATTTTTGTCGTGTTAAGTAAAAATAATTAAATTTGTTTGGTTAATCTGAATTCTCCTTCTATATAAGTTTTGTTTGTTATTATTAAATATTTTCAATATTTAAAAATTAAGGAGAAAGGAATGTAGTAGTTTGCATTTTAATTGCGTATTTAAGTCTAATTCCTTTTGTTTTTACTTACAATACTTTCAGTTATTGATATTTCATGGGCGCAGCCATTTTGTTGTTTATGCCGAAGTTAATATGGTACGGCTTTATTCATTGGTTATATCGTTCTATTTTTATCCAATGTTTAATTGTTTACTTGGTCATGTGATTTTTGCACTTGTATTCACCATATAAACTCGTGCATTTCTTTATTTTGCTAGCTAGGTGTATCGGCCTACCGGTACTCCTTCGAAGCCTAGTGCTTCAACTTAATTTGAGAATCTATTTCTCTTCATTTTATTTATGCTGATTGCAAAATAAATAGATCTCTTATTGTTTAAATATCATAGGGCAATTCTTTCTATAAACTTATAAGTTATCGTAGTCTTAATTAGAAAACATAGGTTCTCTATATCTATATAATTATTCATTCACTCAATTAAATTTATAGTTTGAATTTAAAAACTTGTTGTTGTTTGTTTGACTTGTATATTTCCAATTCCACTATACGGCCAAATTATTTAAGAAATATTCTGCGTGATCAATCATCACGTACGATATACACAAAGTAGAGCCTGGTACAATTGTTACATTTTTTTCTGTTATAAATACTGATTGCTCGCAACAAATCGTTTTATTTATAAAAACATTTTATCCAATAGTATAACACCTTTTCATTTAATTTTTGATTTTAAAACGAAGCGGAATAATTTTGAATGTTAGGGCGTATATAAATATACATCACAGTGGTTTACTCATATACTAAAAAATATCAATTTGACGTTTTTGTCACATTGTGAATTTTACTGTGGTTAATGCGTGAGCAAATGATAAGCACAAAATTATATATAAATGAAATCAATAAATAATAAAAGAGCACATTTCAAAACTCGAAACATAATATGATATAATGGAAGTGAAACCCCGTTAAGTTTATAAGAAAGACGGCAATTTCATGATGACACCCGGCTAGACAACTGCTGTATCCATGAAACGTCAGTGGCTCCAATGTCAAGGTCAGTGTGTTAATTTTCTGACATGGTAACTTAATATACATTTCATATCTATTTACTCTAAATAAAACTACTACAAATCAAAGAACTTCACGAATCCACGATTTCAACTAGCAAAATTCACGGTTTCAACTTCTGAATTCAAGATTAACTTCATGAATTCACGATTTCATCTTCGTTAAGATCAAATAGTGAAGTTCAAAAAGTAAGTTCATGTAGTCTGGAATTCGTGAAGTTGAAATCGTGAATTCTCGAAGCTGAAATCGTGGAGTTCAAAACATGAAGCTACGGGTCTTTCGTACTGTAAACATATTTATAATAACTCCATAATAGTAAACGTCGATTGTTATTTAAAAAAACGCAACATTTATATCTAGTTGTATCTATATATGTATTTGAATTCCATTTCACCCTCATTGAAAACAATATTGTGCATTATTACTCACAACTTTATAGTTTTCGTGTAAATTATGTAAGGTATGCCATCTAATTAACTAGATTTACTTTTAAATAGTGATAGATAAATGTATTACTTCAAAAACACAACAACAAAAAAAAAACCTCCAAAAAACAACAACAAATTAAAACCAAAAAAAAAAACAACAAAAAAACAACAAGATGGAAACGATAAAAAATGCCCATTCTTTAAAGCAATATTATTTTTAGCTGATTAGTCACTTTAATTTCAGTAATGATCTGTACAACTAAAGTAATTGTCTGTTACTACATGATGTGGAATACTCCAAACATATCCTTTACTTTTCGAAATAATACCTGACATTTATATATAAATTAACGGTTATCTTGAAAAGTTTTCGGTTACCGTTCACTTGCTATTTTCATATTTCTAGATACAGCGTTATACTTTGTACACATTTCTTGCAAAGGCATATACATCTACAGAAAATACGCAATAAGACGTATTACTATACCATAAAATCTGCTATTTTCCCCTCTTTTGCCCATGTTATAACGGGACCAAACCATGTGTTAACATAGTCACGCGCTCTTGTTATATCCCGGTTTTACCTATGCGCAATACATACAGGGCCGAGTAAAAAAGAAAAAAATGACGATTTGGCCTGTTTGCCAGAGTCATGCGCTCTTGTTATATTAAAGTTATTAATTCGAGGGCCTCAATCGCATAACGGCGAGCAGCATTCAAGTAACTATGCCGGAGATACGGCGTATAGACATCGCTGCTAATCTTGGTTGTCGCCCTTTCTAAGAAACGGACAGTTGTCAATGTTAACAAATATCCGTCATTCAGTTATCCCTCTATTAAACTTACAAACAAGATAACACAAAATTAATATAAGAAAATGTTGTTTTATTGATGTTTATATTCATAAATGCTCTTTATATTTCTTTGAGAGAATAATGTGTGCTTGAAAAAAACAACGATTCTTATGTCAATGATCCTTCTTCTACCGTCAATCTGAAATCATTCTAAGAATTTCTGAGGGTAATGTTTTGTCTTTGGTAGGGCAATTTAATGTTTTTAGAAGATAAATCTCCAATTTTTAGCTTGTTTAAATCAATTAAAATTCAAAATTTCGTTCGGTTCTGAGCATTTGTATTTCCCAAGTTGTTGGCCCCGGCAAAATAAAACGCATACGTAAAACATATGTAGAATTGGATAAGTACCGTCCAAGCACAAGGATTTAATGTATGTGATTTGAATTAAATATGTATCATGAATCTGTTTTAAAATTTTATGCTATGTTTCAAATTTTTCTATTTTGTGTGCGTTTCAATATTCCATTGATTCATAACGCTCCTCTTCATCACTAATGCGTCAGATAAAGGACAGGCTTCCCTTTTAGAAATAGTGTGTTTTATAAAAGCAAGCTTTATCGCATTTACTGGATTCTCTGATATCCACTTCTTGGGCATAATTTTACATTTCCGACGATAAATATAAATAGAATAATAAGAATATGGACAATGATATAATACAAAGTCAGTAACACATTATCTTCCTTTATTTGTATGTTCTTGTCCGTTGATGTGTTTCATTAATTACCACAAGTGGTTCAGGTGGACCAACGTGTCTAATGGCCATCCACTAAAATGATTTCATTAAAAGAATTATACTTTCAAGACTTCCTCGTGCATTCTTAGGGAATTTGATTGAAATCGGTTTAAAAATATTACATATTTCCGTATAGTTGAATGATTCATTCAATGTTATGCTTAAACAGAGGAAAAACGTAAAGATTAAGCCAAAAAAATTGATACAATTACTTTATTCGAGCATAGGTATAGATTCAGAACTCGGTTATCGATTTGTGTTAACCGTTTTTGTAGTGATATTGTTACAACTGATATTGCAATCTAAGTCTTGTTCTCAAATTTATTTATTTGATAAAAACATGTAGACTATTTATTAGTAACATAATGAAAAATACAATTATAATGAGAAACAAATACTTGTATATTCAAAACCTTGCCGGGGGCTTTAGTTTCATTACAGAAGTCACTATTTAGTAACAGTGCCACTTAACATTTAATATTTCACAGCAACTCAAAACAATAGTGTTATTTTCCAAAACACAGTATTGCAAATAAGAAGAATCAGGTTAAGAGCAATATTTTCTAGACTAACACGGGCTTTAATTTTTGTTACATAGGAGAAATCCAGTAAACGAGGACCAATCCTCCATGCTTGTGCTTGCATTGTTGCACGAAGAAAGTTACACAGTGTTTCCAACATCAAGATTTATCACGATAGACTGAGTTATAGCAGCATTGCCTTTGTCTGTATCATCGTCAGTTGGATCAACTTTTATATAGATTAAAGATTGTCTATTCTTGTAAAGTTTACATCTAACCAATTCATTTTGATTATTCCTTTCATCTACCCGCTTCTTTACCAATGTAACAGAAAAATGGTAAACACCGGATTTGCTACAGGTGTAAGTTCCTGTCGAGATATTAAAATCATTACCATACTGGTAAATGGTTCTTGAAAAATTTAGCTTTCTGATTCCGTTTATCGTGCTGTAGGAATGTGGTGTTGTCACAGAAAATGCAGACATAAAGGCTGAAATAAAGAAAATGATATATTATACACATAAACTATTGGCAACATTAAACGTAAATTGTTGATTAATTGAATTGAAATCATATACATCTGTAGGTATAAATACGAAAATAATATTTAAGCCCATCCAGCTAAACAATCATACAATATTATATTTTACTGAGTGTGTAAAATCAGTGTCCGATCAACGATGGCTGACTACACAACAACAACTACTTGAAATGAAATGTCTCCTTTTATATTATAAGAGCAGCCATAATCTGGGCAAAATACATTCGAATACAACTTTTAAAGGTATCAAAATAATTTTTAAATATGAGTATGGAACATGTTTTAATAAATTCCAATACTAATACTGATGCAAAACGACCCCAATCGCAATAGCATTTATAATCATAAGTGCACGATTATTTCATTTAATTTTTGTTAAGATCTATATTGATTCATGTCAAGTAACAATTCTCTTGCGGTGGCTTTTGTAGTATAACCTCGGACCACCGCAGTAAGCATTTAAATTCACCGGAAAACAGGCCCGCCACCGCTTTTTCCTGGACAGGCTGACAAAAAGTTTACTAGTACTAGATAGTGCCTTCAATTTTGTAAGGAACTGATATTACTTCTGACTTCTGTACATACCAGAGCAGAGGTACACTTCAAATTACCGTAGAAAGGATTTCGTAATCAATAAAAGAAAGTGGCCCGCACAGTCCTGGAGTCAAACCGTCGTCCTATTCAAAGTCAAATGCTCTACCAATTGAGCTTACTGGATGGTGCTTTTGCTACAAGACGACTAAATAGAGATTCTAAATTATGCTTTATGCATAGATATGTTTTTATATTATGACTAAGCAATATGAATATCAGATAGATTTTCATATTAATTTCATATTATTTTCAATTTGTTTATATATTACACTAGAATTTCAAAAGCATAAAAATACCCCACAAAATAATTAATATCAAAATGCTTTGTTTACAAAATGGTTAAACCTACGATATGGTTATCGCTATAATTAATTATGGTTGATTTTTAGTTTCAATTTCCTTACATCTGTTTAAAAGATACAGAGCGGACAGATAGATGTATGGGCGGACTGCCATGTGCATAACACTATACGACGAAACATTTTGGGCGTATGAAAATGTAAGAAATGCTAGAGTTATAAAACTCATTATTTTCTATTCAAGAAAAATTGTTGAGTTATATATATTATTCAATACCTGGACAGTTTTCTTCTGAACATTGACTACTCTGTAAACTTTCTCCAATACAATCCCTTCCTTCATTCTCGGGCGTTGGATCTGTACATCTTCTTGTCCGTAATCGCCTTCCCTTGCCACACGTTACGTCACAAGAAGTCCAACTGGACCAATATGCCCACTGACCATTTACTAGCAATAAAAAATCCATTCATACGACTTATACATTTTGCAGGCTTAAACAAGAATGAATGCAGCGTACTGTTTACGTAGAAAATATTTATTGCATGCCATATAAACATAAACCGTCAATATTAAAGCGCATGGTAACTTTTTTTAGTGAAAAGGTGGACTACATTTTATTATGCTAGACAATCATTATTCCCTTATTGAAATACAGATCCTTGGCAAGTTGAACGAATTTTAAATCTCTTAGTATTAATGCTATTTCCTCTCACAAATTTGTATAAAATATGTTATAAAGGATCAACGGAATAATTCAAGAAGGTTTATAATACTATTTCGTTATCATAATTTCCTTAATTCTAAATATAATGTTACTCAAACCTGCTGCAAATCTTCTCAATAATAATAAATTTATCAGATTAAACTATTGATTTTTTAGTTTGCCGGAATTTACAAAATAATATTTGCGGTCGAAACATACACTCTTACAAAAAGATTTTGAGCTTGATCTGAGAAAACCGAATCTTGGTCATATTTGACTGTTTTCTGCATATCGCCTCAGTATTTGTCATATTTCTGTCAAAAAGCTTTTAAAATTCATTTATAATGGCTAAGTTTAAGTTTGAGTTTGATTCGAGAAGGCACGAACCGACGCACTGCATATCATCTAATAATGGTTGATATTTCTGCTAAATTATTGCAATTTTCCGTCAGTTAGTTTCAAGGTGCAAAACCTAATACGTAGCGTAGAAAAATGTAAAAAAAGTAAGAGCTTAAAAACGAAAACTGCTTCTCAAGTTTAGCAGCAGGCACAATTGACGCGTTATTTCATCTATAATTCTTTACCTGCACAGTTTACTTCTGAACATTGACTACTCTGTAAACTTTTCCCAATACAATCCTTTCCTTTATATACATATTACAAGATAAATTTGAGAAAAAAATAGAAAAAAAACTAATATTTTCATTTAGCACTTTTTATGAAAGCGTATGAATTTACAACTTCATTCATAACGGCAATATGACGTTGTCCAAAGAACGCAATTCATTCAAAAAGGCGCGTAGGAATGACGCGACCTGTCTTACATGGGGATGTATAACGCCGGTGTAAAAAGTAGTTATTATGTCTGATATGCAAGAAAGACCAGTCAATCAGAGTTAAAACTGTACATTGTAAATCATATCTCAACTCAAAAAGATGTAAAGCATCTTATTTGACGCCGTTATTGGTTATTTAACTACGTTTATGTAAAAATAGAATAGTATAATTACACATGTAATAAGAATTCCGTTGCGGATTATCAATTATTTTTTAACATAAAAACTTTAGAAACATTTGTTACTATTCAAATATTCTCAACAAAGTGAATTTCAAAATTTAACAAGTGTCCAAAATGACTTATAAAGTTAATATAGACCTGTACAGTTGCCAATTGTGCATTCACGAATCTGCAAACTTTCTCCAATACAGTCATTTGTCGTAGCAAATTGATTTGTACACGTTCTTAGCCGTAGATGTTTTCCATTACCACATGTTACGTCACACGAGGTCCAGCTTGACCATTGTGCCCAATGACTGTCGACTGAAATTGTTATGATAATTAAAATTCTTAGACGTATAGTGAGATCTAAAATTAATACAGTGATCTGAAAATATCAATAAGCATGTTGAACGATTGTTTGTATAACCTTATCATATCAATTAACAATAATTTGATATTTATTACATTAAATGGCGTAAAATTATTCATACCAGTACAAAAGAAGAAGAAAAAAAACAAAGGAAAAAACAACAACAACAAAAACACTTACCTGAACTCTTTGGCACAAAGAGGAATATAACCAACGAAATCAGAGTTATGTAAACAACAGTATTCAGCACTGTCATTACATTAAACCTACATTTCAGTCGCTTTAGAGTATCATTAGACGCGCTTTTCCTTTTTCTTTCATGTGAATCCCGAACTTCTACTTGTTCTATTGTATCATTAGACGCGTTTTTCTTTTTTCTTTCATGTGAATCCCGAACTTCTATTGGTTCTATTGTTTCATCTATTGTTTCATAATCTTCCTCCTCAATATTCGTTATCTGTGTTCCGGCAAAAGTATTAATTGTCAAAATATTGGTATTTTCGTACAAAGAAGGATCACTTGATCCAGGGAGATCCGCTTTACTTTTACCAAATTTCATTTTAGGTTATATAAACTGAATATGTTATTATCACATGCGGTGGCTGATCTGTTTTCTTATGAATTCAAAGTGGCTTACTGTTGTGATGAGGAAAAACTATGAACACTCCCACCATCAATTTTCTTCCTTTTTAAACAATGCATATATATTATAAACCACAGGCCATCACAGGATGGACAATACTTGTATGAACATCTTAACATTTAAAACTTCGTTTTTCTTTCGATGATTCTACTGTTACTGAGAAAATGTATCGATATAGTGTACGTACTCTTTGTTCTATAGTAAATTAGTCACATTTGAGGCTTAATTCTGGATTCCACTATTCTTGATGTATAATATACTGACTTCAACTTTATACATCAACACTATCTAAGTCAAATGATGCCCGAGATATAATGTGTTAGCCATCTACTTTTTCAGAAATCTTCATCCTGTTGTAAGACTGTTTAAATTCACCACTTTAAAAACTCCTGACAGCTTGTGGGTAGTACATCTTTAATCCTTCCGCCAACAAATGAGGTCCTAGAGGATACACAAAAAGAAACAACTTTTAAGTCACAATATAACACAAAAAACTACACAGATGAAATAAATACACTTTAGTTACGACTAATCTAGCCAGAGATTACTAAAATTGGAACACTTTGAAATTTATAAGAACTACTTACCGGATTGAGACCAATACGGGAAATTAAAATACGGAGGTGTACGGGACGGTATATTATGCGAGTTCGTATATAAATAATATACAGTGATACGTAATATACGAAAACTTTGTAGCAGGAAGTTTGTATCTTACTAAAATACGGAAATTCTGTCTGTATATTACTTAAAACGAAATTCAACATTCTTGTAAATAGAGAATAAAGATTTACTTCTGAATTACACATTTCCTTTAGAGGAAAGAAATAGTCTGATCTATCATTTTTAGACATTTGTCAAATTTGTTTTAAAAATAGAAAGGTTTTAAAATAAAAATTAAATAATTTTTTTGGGTTTTTATTTTTCAGTAAGTGCATACTGATAATATGAAAAATAAAAAAATTTCCAATATTTTTTGAAAGCGCCCTGTAGAATGGGGTTAGACAAAAAACACAATATCCCCAAACACTGTTTTTATAGCCTAAGTCGCCTTTTTTACTTTTTTTTTTCATTCATTTTTTTTTTGCCAATTCATACTTTTTTAATACCCCCAAAAACATTTTTTTAAACTCTTTTCAGCAAAAATTTCATGTTAAAAAAAGCCCCATGTTTTATTGCCTAACAGTTTTGTCATTTTAAAACAAAAACTTTTTATTTTTTCGGACGAAACCCGATTTGAAAAGGGGTTTTTAAACTCCTGTTAAATTTTTACTGGAAAAAACTGAAAAAATTAGTAGCTTTATCTTTGGCATATTGATCTTTTTTAAAATTTTCCCGGGAAAATTCAGGGAATCTCATTGGCCCAATTATGAAATAGTAGTAATTTAATATAAACATCTTTTCTGAACGTATTCCCACAGGTTGGAAATAATACCATAAACTAAAGGAGTTTCGGAAACAAACTTTCTAGTTAAATTTCTCGGAGAGTTGAGGGCTATGAACTCCCCCAACTAGCCATTTAACACTGCTTTTAGCATTTTCATTAATTCTCTACTGGTTAGCTTCTTCAACATCAAAATTTACCGAGTTACAAATGACAGTCTATAAGTTTTGTCTAACATGACGAGACTTCCAATAACTTTCTCGATCCCAGAATCACATACATACCACCGAATGTTTCTGGTACACACAGTCAATTATGGCCAGTGTTTATTACTTATCCGTGCCGTTTTTACGACTCCGTAAAAATGGTATTGCACCGGCCGCGTGCATAATATTTTTAAACCTAACGGTCAATTTTTTCATCATAGTAAACCAAAGAGGTAAGACGCGTGAATTAAGCGTTATATTTATAGGCGTGTTTTAAATGATAAACGGTTCTTTTTTCACTTCAAACCGTCTATATTTTTTTTGTATGTTGATTAAATAGAATATTAAATTCTGGTAAATTTCCATACAGTAAGGGGCTCGCATATCATATAATTTTATTCAACTCGTTCCATAAATTCAGTATTTAACATACATTCATTCAATATCCTCTATTTATGATATTTATTTGTTGATAGTTCAAATGATATAACGTTCAAAAAATTGATGGTACACTTTTGGAAACGCGACAGTGCCATTTAGAAACATATCTTGATGTTTCCTAGATAACAAAATTAAATGCAACCAAATAACCTATGCAAGTATTCAGTAGTTTTATCTCGTCCGAGTGCCTCTTAAATGTTACGTCCTGTTTCATTTCCAGTGTCAAGATGTTTTCTCAGTATTTCATTTTATCAATTGGAAAAACCACTTTAATGTAAATTATCTCATCACGTACATATCATTGTTTAATCTAACGGACACTCCCAATTAGAGTATACATGTATAGTAAAGTCAACAGAACAATTGAAGTATCTTAATTATATACTGTTATGTGTGCGTAAGACTCTTAGAGTTGTTGAAATCCCATCCTTCTTTACATAAAATTTGAAAAAAGGAAATAAAAAAAGTAAAATTAATAATAAATAAACTGAAATATTAATTTTTGTCTCGTTTTAAAATGACTGTTTACTTTTTTTATTGAACATGCAAGTTTTTGTTACAAGTAGCTCTATAAGTATATGACAGATTTAAATTTAGTAGATAATAGAAGCTGGAACTGAATGCTAATGAGTTGAATGCTCAAGTAAAAATTGAGTTATTCTGACTAAATGGGCTTATTTCAGTAAAAGTAAAATTGCAGCTACTAGTTGAATGCCCCTTTCAAAGAAAATATCGGCAGAAAGAAATTGAAATTACATCATTAAACATAATGCGATGAAATATTGTTTAAGCAGTATGCGTTAAGATTCATGTTTTTTTTCAGAACAGTTTTGGTAAAATATTGTGAAGTGAAAGTAGGAAGTAATTAACACATTGCAAACGGCATTTACAATGCATGTAAATATTAAAAAGAGATCAAAATATGCAAGAATAGCCATTCCTGCATTAGTCCCGCTGTAGAAAATATGGTGATATGTACTTTTGTCAATATTTTGCTTTGTTTTTTGAAATATACTCTGAAAAATCGTTGTAGTTGTTTATTTTTTTTGGTGAGATAAAACCCATATCACTGAAAGTATATCACTCATTGTGTTCATAACATAGCTTTACCGAACCATATGAATGATTCCGTAAATTTCCTTAAAAATTGTAGTTTTTATCTTGTGTTAATGGCATTAAATAGCTGCACTTAAATGATTAAATAATTCACCGCAATTGATGACTCTGTAACTTATTTTGTTTTGCGCAACGTACACGTTGATGTTAAACGTTAAACGTCTTTCTTGTTACGAAAATATTGTTTTACATTTTCTATTCACGTGATTTAGCTCTAATTCCTATAATTATGTAGAAAATATCATAACATGTTAATATGTTATGTATGAAAATGTATACCCTTGATGATAATTTTATTGGTTCATCATTATAGATATTTGCAAAAAGTACTGTCCAAAATACAATAACTCAGTGTTTAATGTGCACACTGAGTAGTATAACATCTGTTTTTCCATAAATCATATAGCACGGATAAAATACCTGCTTTCCCATATAACATATTACACGGGGTAGAACACCTGCTTTCCCATATATCATATAACACGGGAATAGAACACAAGCTTTTCCATATATCATATAACACGGGAATAGAACACAAGCTTTTCCATATATCATAATACACTGGGTAGAACACCTGCTTTCTAAAAATTCATATTAAAAGGGGAAAAACCTTTTTCCCCCATTTTATCATATTAAAACCGAGGAAAGAAAACCCTTACTTTACCAATTTTTAAAATTTAACGGGGTAAAAAAACTTTTTTTAATATATAATATTCCCGGGGAAAGAACCCAAATTTTAAACCATATATCATATTACACGGGGTAAAACAACTGTTTTCCCATATATCACATTACACGGGGTAGAACATCTGTTTTCCTGCATATCCTATAATACGGGTTAGACGTTTTAATTTCAAAAATAAGAATAAAAGAACGAATGTTTGAAATGTATGTAAATTGGTTAAAACAAGGGTAAGAGTTTGTAATAAGACGACCGTAGAAAGTCTTACTACTATGTTTACCTTTTAGTCCTAATTGTTCTGGAATTCAATTCATTAAACACATTATCAGGGGATAATTGGGAAAAATGATACCTTTCATCGTAGGAGGTCTTACAAAAAAAGTATTAAGAAATAAAACATGTCCTATCCTGTAAATCTAGTATTAAGTTGTATGAATTCAAGAAATAGTAGCCTTCACACATTAAGATTTGCTTGTACATCTTAGTTTTAAGTGGTGCTGTACTGCAAAATCCTACCGTCTCTGTTGAGGCCTCAACAGACGGTAGGATTTAGTTGTACAGCGCTAATAAAACATATAATAAACCCTTACACATATAACTGCATATTGGCTATTACAATTCGATATCAGATGAAAATAGAGAAACTGTCACATCTTTAAACAAGCATGACATTGTTTTATCCCCAGCAGTCACGTTCAAACACGCACCCTTAATAAGGTATACAGGTGTATTGGGTCCAATAACTCTAGCTGGCATGTAAGGCCCCGTCAACACCTATCAAGACACCCTACTTAAATGGTTTTAAAAGAGAAATTATGTGACATCCATGAAGATAATTTCTTGCGAGAAAATTTTAAAACAGATTCTATTTTTCTACAAGTTTTTGGCTGTCAAGACACTGATAACACTGGTTTGACACAAAACATGTGCCCCGAATGTGTGATAATGCTGTTTTATTATTATTTTCTGACTTTTTGTACTGACCTGTGAATTTCAGTAAATGTTCAAAGGAAAAAAAATCGATAAACTGATACACAGAAGAGCAAAAGAAGAAGAAAAAGAAAAAAGGATCAGTTTTTCAAAAGTATAATCAATGGGGAATTTAAAATTTTTTGTTTACTAAGTGAAATTAACTTTCATCAAATAAAGAGTTTGCAACAATTTATAAGCTCAAAATATTTTTTCTCTCACATTTTCCATTTATTTTACAAGAATACACACATTTCATTTAACCCTGGTCCATTGTTTTTAGCTAATTGCATCATTTTCCCGCTTTTTTAGAAACATGATAGTATTGCAAAGACAAAGGTATAAATCCTGGGCAATCTTAATGAGTCATTTCAGTAAAAATTGTACCTGATTATATTGAATTGGCCATTTATTTAGCTTATCTAAATGTGAGAAACTTGACTAGGTGTAGACGCGGCCTAAAACAATGAGTATTCTCATCCTCGTAATATTTAGGATAATGCAGTTAGGTCCTGTATGATACAAAATAATGATTTGTTTACTTTTCCTTGAAAATATAAACAGCAATTTAAAACAGACATTTTTCGTTTTAGTTAAAAGGATATCAAAAAGTACCTGTGTA